TGTCACAAATTCTCCTAAATCACTCGTACGCACAACTTAACAACAAATCTGTGTACCAACGGTTCTTGCATGAGGCCCATTATGTCTGTCTGCATCTTCATGATGACCTGTTGAAGGATGGTTAACCTTATGGAAACAAAAAACCGTTTGTCAGAATTTATCCTAACATTTAAAGTCCAAAGGTCAGTAGTGTCTTTCATGCTACAACTCTGTACATAAAGTGATGAAAAACAGCCAGCTGACTATGATTATTACCATTCCTAGAGTTTGATGAAACTTGTTTCTGGTTGTTTTGATCGTTGGAGGTCAAAGACCAACATTCACATTTAGTCAACAGTCATGTGGCTCTGCTGTTCTTTTGCCCCCAGAAAGGAAGCTCTGAGTGATTTCTTGGTTAATATGTTAACTGTTTTTGTTTCACACGTCAATAAAGCAATGTGGTCAGTTAATGATAATTCTAACCAGCCAATTTATTTTAGTATATTTTAAATTATTTTATGTGCAAGTCCAAATACAGTAAAAACTGAAGAATAAGGAACATATTCTTAAATATTAGAAACAGAATACTTTCATTCTGAGTGATAATTGGTTTTGTTAGAGTAACTCCAGGGAAAGAAAACTGCCAGACAGAAACAACACTTTAGAGATAAGTTATACATAAAGAAAAGTCCTAGAGAAGACTAATCAGGAGTAGGCTAAGGTACAAGTTTGAACTGTGTACAAAAGCTGGATTAGTAAATCCTACTGAAACGTAAATCATTTGTAATATTTTTAAAGAAGTAAATACATTTACACTCTTTCTGTTGCTGTTTTTGAACCGTCCAGAGAAGAATGAATAAAAGAATGTGTTAAAACTGAAATATTCAGTGCCTCTGAGTTCTCACAGCAACAGCTGCAGAACATCAAGCAGCAACAAAGAGTTCACTGAATGAAATGTGACAAGGTGTTGTACCCCCCACCCCCAACACACACAGACCCCTCTCTATCTTCTGGGAACACTAATAGGCTCCCTGCAGAGTAATGTGACCAATCATCTGGCCCCGGAGCTTAGTGCTGCACATGGCGGTGGAGACTCCATCAGAGCACTGAGACCAGATCCAAGGCTCTGAAACGTCACCTTCTCTACTTCTTCATTAGAACTCATTATGGAACTTTAAACCTTATCCTCTAAGGACCCAGTTTCCTTTTCTTTTCTTCTTCAGAGCAGAGTTCAGACTTATAGTGAGGTGAACAGGTCTGAGACACTCCAGGTGAGTTGAACCATTCTGCTGTCCTTCGGCTCTGACATATCAACCATAAAACAGGACAATCTGTCAAAGATAAAACAGTAACACAACGGATTCATCAGTCACCACAAGGTTATAAACTTCAAGAAAGGCTTTATCTTTGGTTTCTATTTTACCTGCTAAAACCTTTTTACATCCCAGCTGTAGGCTAACACTTTAAAACTACTGAACATTTTATCTTTAAATGATTGTGAGACGTATTTAAGACATGTCTGTTGTGTGCTGAAACAGCTTTTAAAATCTGCTAATTAGGCAACAATACATGAAGTTCTCTGTACAACAGCACGAATACAAGAACATTTCATTATTGAACAGAGTCCAGGACACTTAGAGAGGTGTACAAACAACTCTTTTTAGACTTTGCAGTGCCGTAGTTATAGCTGTGCAGAAAATACTGAAACAACAAGAAATAAAAACACAAAGTAAAATTATGTCAAACAGTACAGGGAAACACTGAAAGGAGATGTTCTGGGTTCTGTACATTTTTCCTGCTAAATTTTATTTCTGATGTTTTGGTTTACAAACGTTGTTCACAGACATTCGCACCAGTTTCCCTTACTAAACAATTTCTGAAGTTACTTTTTGTTTCACAAATAATAGTCAATAATAGATTTTATGTGTTGAAATTCCTGGTTTTGGTTTGTTGTCTAAATAATGGTTTAGCTTTATAAATTCAAACACATGTAGGGATTTGTCTTCTGAACGCTTAAGGCAAAGTCTCAGAAATGAAAAAAACAAACAAACAAACAAACAACAACTACATTTTACCAGAATTAGGGTCACTATTAAAGGAAAATTAGGTCCTAAGTGATGGGCTCTAAATGTACAGATACAGATTACATATTAGAATACTTATGAAATATTTTTATTTCTAAATTGCTAGTAAAAGTTGTATATTCGATCATTTTATTAGAATTACATTATGTACACGCCTAAAAGAAGCTTCCAGTTCAATTCCATCTTCAACACAGATTTCTTGTTGGCATAAGTTGTACAAAACATCATAGTGTGACGGAGCCACTAACTCACCACTAACTCACCATTAACTCACCACTAACCATAAATTTGTCTTTTTATTGATACARATATTTACACAGCTCTCTGTTGATTTCTTTTTAACCTGATGAAACTGTGAATAATGGTTGGTTCCATCTCTGCTCAGCATTGACGTGGATGTTTGATATTCCACACTGCACTTCTTCCTTCAGATCCCTGCTGTAATTGGGGGAACCATGGCAGTCTGTACTGTGACAGGTGGGGTCCCTCCACCCCATCTGGACTGTACAAGGCTCATGTGTTTTCTTCTTGTTTAGTGAAGAACAAAGGTGTCACGTGTAATGCAACAATACTGAGGGGCCAAAGCTCTTCTCCTAATCCCCGATGTTTTTTAACAATTACTTTTTGAAATAGCTACTTTTACTTTTATTTCATTACATTTTAAAGCTAAAAATGATACTTTTACTTCCTTACTTTAAAATGTAACACCTAGTTACTTGTTACAACATTAAATATGTTTGAACTCATCATGAAAGATGTTTGTGCTCTAAAAAATGAAGAGTTGAATTTACTCAATAAAGTCACGTCAGCTGGTTCCACTGAGCCTAGTTGAGTAAACTGAGTAAATAATAAACATATATTGATCAATTTACTCAGCGTCATTTAGTGGAACCAGTTTGGTTCAGTAAATTCAACTGATTATTTCTTAGAGTGTGTAAAAGTACTTTTACTTTCCCAGTTTTTGTGAAGTTTTATGACTTTTACTTGAGTATTTTCTTGTCAGTGACATTTATTTTTACCAAAGTCATTTTCTGTTCATGTCATTTTACTTTTACTTTGTTATTTTGTAGACCTCTGCTTTCAACATGCTAACTTTGACCATATAATTGTTGTTTACACAGTTTTGAGATATCTTTGAATGTAAGGGAAAMTATCCTGACTGTTCTTTGGAAACATTATGAGCCTTTTACAAACCACTGAATGCAGCAGTATGATGTGTAGATCTGACCAAAACAAATAGGCTCCTCTGCAGTAAAACATCACTTAGTACTTTGAGATTTACAACTGTAAAGTGTCCTATCAATAGAAATTATTATGATTATTACTTTTTCTACAGATAGGTAACATTCTTTGGTCTTAAAGTGAAGATAAATGTATAAAGTCTCACATGGTACCATTCAAATGTCTGCCTCTCCCTTGTAATCAAATTAGTTTCCTCAACCAAACATTAGTGTTTTTATGAAGCGTCTGCATGTTGAGCAGAGACACATGGTGAAGGCAGGAATATATGGGTCCATCTGATCAACATGTGGTCGAACTCCTGCTGGACATTCAGCTTCAGCTCAGTCAGGAAACCATGTCAGGCCTGCAAACCTCCAACGGCAGCTTCCAGAAAAACTTGATACAAGAGGCAGGTTGTGGTGATGGTACTGTGATGGTACTGTGATGGTACTGTGATGGTACTGTGATGGTACTGTGATGGTA